TCCAGGAACACTTTCCTGAGCATGGGTAGGGGTTTTTGTGGTTCAAGGGGGATCACTAGATTTGTTTATGTGTAAACAAGGGAGATACCAAAGTTGTTTTGTTCAGGCTAGACAATGGGAGCTGATCATTCCTGGCTTTGGGCGGTGTTCCTTGGAGGGAGCTCACAATGCACTTAGGGAGCTTCACTATTTTGGATACCAATAAAGGATTTATTCCTAGAATTGGTCTGATAACTCCTGAGCTGGGTGTGTGCAGGCGTGGGCTCATTAACATCTGGAGCAGAGATCCCCCATGATGCCGTGCTTCCCTGCTTTGCTGGTCCCAGAGTTCCGTGCGCTTCTTGCCTTGGAATCTCTGTTCTCCATTCTGTATGCTAATGGAGATGCCTCCTTGTCCCATCTTTGATGCAAATGAGGCTAGGGGAGTTTCCTTAAACCTGTCACCCTTCTCCCAGGGGTTTAGGTGTGTCTCCCACGGCCTTTTCATTGCTTTTTGTAAGTCTTCCTTCTGATCGGTTTTGGCTCAAGCAGAGGCTGTGGGGTGGAAAAGGTCTTTCATGAGTCAGACAGGCTGGGTACTGCGCCCTGGTTCCCCAAGAACACAGAGCTCCTAGGTAACAGAGTGGCGCAGGACCCGGGTGCGAGTTGCGCTGGAGGTGGGAGTGCGAAGCGGCCATTTGCGGTGCCCCCTGATGTGCCCTAGCCCTGCTCCCCTCCGCCCTGTCTCACCAGGAGGGGAGAGTTGTCTGCAACGCGACTTGAAGGAACTCTGCAGACTGTGATCTCTTTAAGCCTGGCACAGACTCTTCTACAAAGACCTCGCATGCCGCTCCTGAAAGGTGGACACAGCTTCATGGCACAGACCTTGCCATCTGGGTCTGTCCAGTGCAACGAGTTCCCAGGTTTTAACGTCTGTCTTAGTATCATAGGACTGGAAGGGACCTCGAGAGGTCGTCTAGTCCAGTCCCCTGCACTGAGGCAGAGCTAAGTATTATCTAGACCATCCCTGACAGGTGTTTGTCCAACCTGCTCTTAAAAATCTCCAATGACGGAGATTCCACAACCTCCCTAGGCAATTTATTCCAGTGCTTAACCACCCTGACAGTTAGGAAGTTTTTCCTAATGTCCAACCTAAACCTCCGTCGCTGCAATTTAAGCCCATTGCTTCTTGTCCTATCCTTAGCGGTTAAGAAGAACAATTTTTCTCCCTCCTCCTTGTATCATCTTTTATGTACTTGACAACTGTTATCATGTCCCCTCTCAGTCTTCTCCAGACTAAACCACCCCAGTGTTTTCAATCTTCCCTCACAGGTCATGTTTTCTAGACCTTATATCATTTTTGTTGCTCTTCTCTGGACTTTTTCCAATTTGCCCACATCTTTCCTGAAATGTGTTGCCCAGAACTGGACACAATACTCCAGATGAGGCCTAATCAGAGCGGAGTAGAGCGGAAGAATTCCTTCTCGTGTCTTGTTCACAACATATCTGTTAATGCATCCCAGAATGATGTTTGCTTTCTTGCAACAGTGTTCTGCTATTCACTCATATTCATCTTGCATGCTTTGAGGTTGGCCTTCAAGGTGTCTTTATATCTGAGGATGGGTCAATCCTTAGAGCACTCAGCTGGCCGTAGAGCACAGCTTTCGGTATATAGGAAACCTCCATGCGGCCCACGGATCTGACCCAGCGAAGTTGAGACCCGATGAGCATACTCCTGAAGCCAGAGATTGGACATCTCTCAAGGACTTCATGCTTAGTTCTATGGCAAACACACCATTAAAAATCCTTTGTAACCTCTAATTCAAGATACAGGAAAGAAGAACAAACAGTTAAAGCATTTGAAATGCAAAATATTAAGGAGCTTTTCTTTTAACCACAGCATTGTTCCCTTGCCCTTGAGCTGCAAAAAGTTTCTATAAGGAAAACTTCCTTGTTTGTCAGTCTTCGGAGGTGGTATCAAAGACGGTAATAGCTGTCCTTGTGGGGGGAAAGAGACGAAGTCAGCTGAGATGGGCTGGAACTGCTGGTGCTAAAGTCCAGTGCTGTTTCCTAGACAACACAAGAGAGACACACAAAAGAGGAGAGAAAAAGAGCAGGAAAGAGAGAAAATGCAGCTTCTGTCTCTGGGCCTGACTCATTTGCAACCTCAGTGCTGGAAGGACGCAGGCCCAGCACATGGTCTTGGTCTTATCACCCACCCGGCAAACACGTACCAGTATCGGGCTGTGTACAGCATTGCTTTTATCTGCCTCATTCTGGTCCCAGGCTTGCAGCTGTGTTGCAAAATACAGTCTTGGCTACGCCCAGCTCTGATCAGACAGCATTAACAAGGAGAGGGATAGGAAAGAGAAGAAATAAGGGGAGGAAGGAAGAGGACACACGGGGGGCAGAGACGGGGGGTGTTTTACAAACTCTCACATCCCAGGAGGTGTTTGCTCTCGGCCCAGTGTGGTCAGGACATCTTGGGATCAGGACAACGAAGGCGGCCCAGTGGTGTTGTGATGGATCCTGGGGTCCCAGGAGACGGTGGGAGTGGCAGCCATGATGCTAAAGCTCACTCCAGTGATCGTTGGCAGATAGCTGCTAATTTGCCCCCAGACGCCGTTTCCTTTTCAGACCCCCAGAAGGGAGCGACGGGCGGAACGGCCCATCCCCTCATTATCTCGTACACCGATTCCGCCTCGTTTCCCACACACCAACTTCGTTCCACTGATTTCCAGTCCCGCGCTGCTCTTGTTTGAGCCGTTGATTTCTGGTCCCACGCTGCTCTGGTTTGCCAGGTGTGATCGTAACCCAGTGCTTGAGTTATAGCCGGAGGCCTTTCTTGGGTGGTCTCATTGGGTCCGTCTGTCTCCCTTTTGCACCTGATCCTATCGCCCTTTGTTGGTCCAGGTGATTGTGACCCTTCAGAAACTTTCATGCGCTTTGCCCAAGTTGAGCTCCCAGTTAGGTTATCTGTGCAGGCCAGTCACCACGACACGCCTCCGGGGCTCGAGGGCCCCAGCAGCGACCATGGCACTGCCAGCACTGGGTGCGATAGGGCTGGTATTGGCACCTGCAAGCTGGGTGCCCAGGGCTGGAGTGTGTGCACTGCCCCCTTCTCACTTGGCGGCTTCGCTCCCACATGCAGAACAGCCGTAGGTGCCTCTGGAGTGACATTGTGAGTCCCGTACTATTGGTTTTTAACCCTTTCCTGGCTGTTCTTGCCCCATCAGGATTATCGACAGGGGATCGGAATCACTTACATTGAGATGAATGTGGGGAATGTGAAGGACGTGGACAGAAGAGGATTTGATCTGACGACGCCTTACAGGATCTTCAGGTGAGGGGGGGGTCTAGGTGCCGTGCCCCACGGGTGCTGATCCCTCCCCCGCCGTACAGCACGGGTCTCTCCCCAGCCACTCTGTTCCCCCACACGGCTCTCTGGTGTCTTTCAGCTTCTCGGCAGACTCGGACCAGGAGAAGGACGAATGGGTGGAGGCCATGCAGCAGTCCATCGCCGAGGCCCTCTCCAACTCGGAGGTAGCGGAGAAGATCTGGTCGGTGGAGGCAAACCGGTTCTGCGCAGACTGCGGGTCGCCCAAACCCGACTGGGCCTCCGTCAACCTTTGTGTCGTCATCTGCAAGAGATGCGCAGGTACGGGCCGAGACCAGGTGGCGCGAGCCGTGGGGACGGTGGTGGGAGAGTGGCCCAGCTCCACAGCTGGGCCAGTGAGCTTAGAGCATGGTGCCTCCCTGGCTTCAGCAATGGGACTGGGCTTTGCCTCTTCCTCCAGCACCCGGGACTGGGCCGATCCTTCTCACCCTCCTTAGGAATTGCCCGGCTAGGTCAGACTTGTGCCTGTCTCAGCCATTTTGGAGGCAGGGTCAGGAACCCCCCTAGTGGACACTTGTGGAATTGCCTCCTCCAGAGGGAGATTCTTCCTAACTCAGAAACAGGGACATCAGATTTTGGGCTGTAGTCCATGAAAGCTTATGCTCTAATAAATTTGTTAGTCTCTAAGGTGCCACAAGTACTCCTGTTCTTTTTAGGGACATCAGAGTCCTTCTGACGCAGGATCCGTGCTGGGGCAGCTGCAGCCGGGTCCAGACAAGGCTGCTCATTGCCCAAGCGCACGTTCCGCTCGGGGCGGGGGCTCCAAAGTCACAGCGGGACTTCACTGAGCAGCCCGGCAGCGGCAGCGGAGCCCTGAGGGGCCCTTTCAGGAGTGTCTGTCATTAAGCGTGTCCAGGCTTCTAAGTCTTGCCAGCCTAGCTGTGTTGGCTAGGAATGTGAAACCAATCACCAACACAGCTGGGCCGGCAGCTCCCCCGGTGGAGACCCAGCTCTGCTGGCAGACGAGCGCCTGTGTTGGCTTCATGGAGCTGGCGGAGCGGTGCATGCGCTGCCTCTCCACTAGGGGGCTCTGCTGGCAAAGCCGTACAGGAGTAGCTTTACCAGCAGAAGCCCTGTAGTGTAGACAAGCCCTGAGCGGATGGTATTAGTCCAGTTCCCAGTGGCTAAGGCGATGGGCTGGAGGTGACCCAGCAATGCAGATCTTGTTCCCACTCTACTCGCTGTGATTCTTTGGCGGTTGTCTGCATCAGAAAACCGCCACGGGTTGGAAAAACCAGGGAGACTGAAGTGTTCTCCTGTCTCGAGCGGCACCCTCCGGGGTAAAGTGGAGGCATGAAGGAGGGGGGAGGCTTACCCGGCACTTAGCAGGATAACTTCGCCGTACCTGATACCGTTATCCCCTTCTGCAGATGGGAAAACTGAGGCAGAGAGGCTACAGCACTAACCCGGGGCCACCGAGCAGAGCCACTGCTTGGCTGCCGAATTCCTGGCTCTCAGACTCATGCTCAGACCACGAGGCCGTGCTGCTGTCCCTAATGAGACGTTTGCTTTTGTTTGTCTGACCCACAGGAGAACATCGGGGGCTGGGGCCGAGCATCACCAAAGTGCGGAGCCTGAAGATGGACAGAAAGGTGTGGACGGAGGAGCTGATCGAGGTATCGGTGCAGATTCCCATTGGCTGGCTGGGGGAAAGGGGGCTCTTTCGTAGCCATCTGTGAAATCCAGCCCTTATTTGATACTCAGACGCTTGCGGGGCCTGTGGCAAACGGTACAGAGCCAGACTGGCTGGGTACCTGCTTCTGGGAAGTTCGAAACTGCCAGTCGAACCCAGGCGGGCTGATTCTGAGCTCCCGTACCCCTTGGCATCTGTATTCCCCGACGGACGCTGCTGTGACGTAGAATCCCCAGCTTTGCTTCTGTAGCTTCCACCCTCTGGAAACATTCCCTATTGCTCCCATGGGTCTGGAAATAAACCTGCCCCGATGCCTTCGTTCAGGGGGCGAGCGAGCCCGTGTCTGGGGCCGGGAGCCCGAATGCGCCTGGCTGCAGACAGCCGAGCTGGTGGATCAGTCACTGCCGAGGAGCTCGGGAGCGGAGCAAAGGGACGTAAGGAGTTAATAGCGCCCTGCACAGCTCTGTTTTGAAGGAGGAGAGGCCGAGCTGTCGGAGTCAGAAACAGCTGCACTGAGAGCAGTGGGAAAGGCGCTGATCCGGGCGCGGTGACGGCATCTGGAGTAACCGGAGCCTGGAGGGCGGGGAGGCTGTGTTTTGTTCCTGCAGAAATACCGAGGATATGTTTTCAAGCAGCAAAGCCGGCTGAGGAGGGGACTAGTGGGCGAAAGAGGCCTTCCCCTCTCAGGGGCTGGTTCGGAATGGCTGGGGCTGGCCAGTGTCTCAGGCCACGTCTCCACTGGATCAGAGGTGTGACGGCTGCCTGCGTGACGTTCCCGAGCTAGCTTTACTGGAGCTTGGGGCACAAGCGGTGAAGCCGTGGCAGTGCAGGCTAGCCGTTGGACTTCATGTGCCCAGGGTCCCCTGTGCTGCCGCTGCCGCTTCACTGCTGTTGGTACCTGCTAGCGCGGGTGTGTGTTCGCATGTCGCTGTCACACCTCTCACTGCGGTGGAGACAGACCCTTAGCGCTGTCACTGCCCCGTGTGGCTGCCTGAGCTCTTGGCCTGCAGTAAGTTTTATGCTGCGCCCATCACCAAGCTCTTTGGCGGCCAGCGTGGAATAGATTGCTGGCTCTCAGACGGGCTCCTGGTGATCAGAGTAGGACAGGATTCTCGCCAGGAAGGAGTCTTGTTCCCTGCCTCCTCGCAGCCGTTCCCTGGATGTGGGCACCTCTCATAATCAGCCTCTACTTACAGTTCCCTGCCCAACTACCGGGGAACTGCTCCCACCACAGAGCCAGGCTTGGGTGGGACTGCAGGGAGCAAGTTTCTTCATGTGCGAAGAGCGAATGGGGGCTGCCGTCTCGAGCAGCGCTGATTGTGGATCAAGAGTGCAGCGCAAGTAGGAAGGACAAAACTGCAGGAGAGAGCGCAGTGTGCGTATGCATCTCCTCTGACAATCTGCACAAAGCGGGACACAACATGGCTGCCTCTCGCTCTGGGCAGGCAGCCGTGTGCTTGGCGAGTTCAGGAAGGGATTCCTGCACCCCCCTTGAATCATATTCAGGCCACCCGTCGTTGTGTTCCCTGCAAACCCTAGACTCAGAGACTTTAAGGCCAGAAAGACCCATCGTGATCATCTAGTCTGACCCTCTGCACATCGCAGGCCACAAAAGCTCACCCATCCCACCTGCAATAGACCCAGAGCCTCTGGCAAGTTACTGACATCCTCCGACCCTCTCCGCACACCAGAAAGGACCGTACACATCCAGCACACGGATCTGGCGTTGGGGTCTGACCGTGCACTCAAAACAGGCGGGAGCATGGAGGGAGCTGGCAGGGGGATGCAGACACCGGTCGATACCTAACGCCTGGATGCTCTCAATAAACATTCCCTGACACGAACAGAGCCAGCTCTGCATTCTGAGAGCGCCGGCACCCAAGACGCCCCCGGCTGCCTCTTGCATCGCCACCTGACCTGGTGCAGGGGCCATTTCGCTTCCCCATCCACCCCCCCACCACGGTGACCTTGGCCCGCCGAGGGGGTGACGGCTGAATGTGTTGCAGGGAGGGAGGGCCTGGCTCTGCGAAGCCCTGCATAGCTTGGGCCCTGGCTGTCTGCGAGAGCGCCCTACGGTCAGCCAGCATGCCTGCGCCAACAGCCTCGGATCGAGGTGTTGGGAAAGGTCGTGCATCTCCTCCCGTCCCAGTCGCTGCACCTGTGACCTGGCAGGGTGTTCTCCACCCGGGGATCCTGCCTCGGCCTGAGACAGCTGCCGTCTCTTGACATTTGGACCTTGCTTCTGCTCGGTGGGAGGTAGGTCACTGGCTGCACAGGCCTCAGCATGGCTCTGCCTCCATCACACACCACAGAGACCCCTCTTTGGCTGTTCGGAGGCGAAACCAGACAGTCGTCGGCCTGCCTGAGTCATCCCCAGCAGGAGCCCGGCGCTCCCAGCCCCAGGCCGGCTGCTCCTCCTCGCCATCCAGTCAGACCTGGGGCCCCGCGCCAAGGAGCAGCCTTCCCCGCCCTTCTCCAGGACAATGGGATCTGGAAGCAAAGCGCGGCATGCTGGGAGATTCATCTGCTACCAGGGTGGCCAAAGCTGCTTGCAGCTCGGCCCGTGTCCACCCGGAGCCGGGCTGTGTCCGGCCTCTGCGTTCCAGACACCTCTCCCCTGCCCCAGAGTCAGCTCCAGCCAGCGCCTGCTTCCCACGGCCACATCCTGAAAGTGCTTCCAGCTGCTCTCCCTAGCTGTGGGCGGCAGGTTTCTGATCTCCCCGCTCTAAGGCTACGTTAACCCCCAGTGGTCCCCGCCATGTGACGTGCAGAGAAACCGGCTGACAGCAAAATGGGGATGTTCCCCCCGTAGATCTCACCCCCCTCCGTACTTCCCCAGCTCCCTCTGCCCCCCAGGGAGAGACCAGGACCACTCCACCACTGTCAGTTCCTTCTTATACCTTCTCCTCAGCTTCTAGTCCCTTCCCTCTCCCCGCTCCGATACTTGCTCTCGCCTTGTGAAGTGTTTAGCTGGGGTGATGATGGCGTTTTCTGTGCACTGCCCCTTTGAATTACAAAGGGCTCTGTTCACTGCGGAGTCAGGCAGCCATTTTGTGTCCAGGACAGTGCAGGCAGTCAGACACACACACGCTGCACTCTCTACTGGAATCTGCATTGTTGTTCTTCCTTGTGTTCTCCACCAACAGTAAAAGCAGTGCCCTTGGCCTGCACTCAGGAGCAACCCTATAATAACAAACCAGTATGTGAAGCCCTGCGCTTGTGAACGACCCTACAATAACAAACCAGCAGGTACAGCCCAGCACTTAGTTGCAACCTAACAATAACAAACCAATGTGTGTGGCCTGGAACTCAAGAGCAACCCTCTAATAACAAACCAGCATGTGCAGCCCAGCACTTGTGAGCGACCCTACAATAACAAACCGGCACGTGCAGCCCAGCTGTTGCGAGCAACCCCACAATAACAAACCAGCACGTGCAGCCCAGCACTTGTGAGCGACCCTACAATAACAAACCAGCATGTGCAGCCCAGCACTTGTGAGCGACCCTACAATAACAAACCAGCATGTGCAGCCCAGCTCTTGTGAGCGACCCTACAATAACAAACCAGCATGTGCAGCCCAGCTCTTGCGAGCGACCCCACAATAACAAACCAGCATGTGCAGCCCAGCTCTTGCCAGCGACCCTACAATAACAAACCAGCACATGCAGCCCAGCACTTGCGAGCGACCCTACAATAACAAACCAGCATGTGCAGCCCAGCTCTTGCGAGTGACCCTACAATAACAAACCAGCATGTGCAGCCCAGCACTTGCGAGTGACCCTACAATAACAAACCAGCACGTGCATCCCAGCTCTTGCGAGCGACCCTACAATAACAAACCGGCACGTGCAGCCTAGCACTTGTGAGCGACCCTACAATAACAAACCAGCACGTGCAGCCCAGCTCTTGCCAGCGACCCTACAATAACAAACCGGCACATGCAGCCCAGCACTTGCGAGCGACCCTACAATAACAAACCAGTGCAGGAGGAAGAACATCAATAAGGAAATGTGTGACTCTCAAAGTGCAGGGGCTGCTCCGGGTGAAAATGAGGAGCAATCGCTTTAAAACGTCAGCATGAGCCGACAAGCCTCCGTGCGGCTCCACAGATGTTATTCTGCGGTAGGAAAGGGGGCAGGGGATTGGCTGCCCTGCCAGACCATAGGCTTAGAGGCTGAGCAGTGTTCTCTGGACTGGGGTCCATAGGAGAGGTGTTTTTGGGCCAGCCAAGGCCCTCAGGGTGTGTTCTGCGGAGAACAATCCCAGACTGGCTGAGGGGATGGAGGAGATGAACGAACAGGCCAACAGTTAGCTGGTCTCTGTGTCTGTCTGCAGACATCACGCAATGGGCGATTTCACATGTGAACAGCAAACAGGGCTCCCACGTCCGTGCCGGGACATTCAGATACCAGCTCTCTCTCCCCCACCCCCAGTTCTTAAACTGCTGCCCCTCACCGTGGTATCTGATCTCCGATTCATAGGTTGGTGCACCACAGAGCCAGAAGGGACTGCTGAGATCACGTAGTTTGATCTCCTGTTGAATACAGGCCGTAGGACTTCCTGGGATTCATTTGCTTGTCTGTCCGTCTGTCTCTTTGTTCCATTCGCACCAGGCCCCTAGCCCAACCTTCCCCACTCAGCCCACCCCTTGGGAAAAACCTCACTAACACACCGGCTTTGCACGTGCCCTGTGGGTGAGCCCGTTTGGCCTGTTGGACTGAGCGTTAGTGACAGGCAGGTTGGCGCTGTTCTCCCCCTTTGACCACACCCAGAGCTGCGCTAGGCGCCGGCCCCACACGGTTTGTCTCGCGTCCAGCGGAGATCCATGTGGGATGCGGGAAGGGCAATGGGGAGGCGGTGGCATTGGCACAGAGGTGCCAGCCTGTGCCGCTCACTCTGCCGTCACTGTTTTGTATCCCCAGCTGTTCTGCCAGGTTGGGAACTGCGTGGCGAACCAGTTCTGGGCAGCCAATGTGCCCCCCAGCGAGGCCATCCACGTGGCGAGCGGGAGCCAGGAGCGGAGACGCTTCCTCATAGCCAAGTACAAGGAGGGCAAGTATCGGCGCTACCACCCACTCTTCGGGAACCAAGAGGAGCTCAACAAGGTTGGTGCCTAGTGGTCTCGAGATCACATTCAGGAGAAGGGCTATTCTGCGGGCCTCTGTCCCGGCAAGGGGTCTCCATCACCTGGAGACAGTGAGCGGGCGGGGCCTTCTCCACCCAGGGCCTGCGTGCTAAAGAGCCTCCTTCAACGCTGGATTTTCCTCCTCGCCTTCCGCAGAGGCAGCACGGCCTAGTGTGAGGGGCTCAGGTCTGGGAGCTGGGAACTCTGAAGGGTGGTTCTGCCTGACTCGCTCTGGGAGCTTTGCCCAGCTGCCAAAGCCCAAATGTTCACAAATGGGCCACCGATGGCGACACTGATTTTCGGAGGGGCCAGGTACCCACAGCTCCAGTCGATAGCACTAGGAGCTGTGGGAGCCCAGGCAGTGGCCCGAGTGGTGATCCTCGCGTCTGACCTCCTCTGTCCCTAAAATCTATGAATCTATGAAATCAGCTCCAAGGTCTTGCAGGTTGATCACCCAAAAGAGGCTGCCTGGCTCCCTGCTTCAGTTTCCCCCATCTGTGAAATGGGCATGCTCCTGTCTGACCGACAAGTGCTCAGTGTTATTGTCTGTGATGTGTGTGTTGTATATAGGGAAGGTGTGATGCACAGGGGGGTGGCTCAGGTTGGGCTCTGTGGAGTGGTCAGGTAGTTTGCCTGGTGCATGGTTAAATGTTGGTTTTCAATAAATAGATATTAAACTGACACCTAGGCTGCTCTTAGCCTGAAGATCCCAGGTCGAGACCTGGGAGGCTAATCCAATTGTTCTGGCCAAATTCCAGTTAAGAAATAACATTCTGTCTCCCTGAAATTCCCTCTGCAGTGTCTCAGGTATGGGTGTAACATGTCATGAAATGTTGCTGTATGCTGTTCAGGAGCTGCTGCGTGCCGCCCCAGAGGTGACTGCATCACTCTGCAGATGGGGGCCCGCTTAGTGCTGAGATCCCAGGTCCTCCCCGGGCTGTGGCCGGTTGGGAGGGAGATGGTTGGGGCTTTGCTTTTCCTTGGCGCTGGAAAAAAAGGAGAAGGCACAAGCTAAAAATAATCCGCTCGGCAAATCCAGCAGGATACCGCGGGAGGAGCTGGGTGGATGGAGTGATCAGAACATCGGGGTCCGGAGTCTTGGCTCGGCCCCCCCCCCCAGACCTCTGAAGTAGAAAGTACTGCCCGTCCTCTGGCGTCATCCCCAGCCCATCATCTGGGCAGGGATGGTGTCCCTAGCCTCTGCTTGCCAGGGGCTGGGAATGGGCAACAGGGGTGGTTGATGATTCCCTGTTCTGTTCATTCCCTCTGGGGGAACCTGGCATTGGCCACTGTCGGAAGACAGGACACTGGGCTAGCTGGAACTTGGTCTGACCCAGTCTGGCCACTCTTACGGTCTCATGTCACCCAGGCCCGTTCTCCCTGAGCATAATGCTGCATTTGTTTTCTTCCCGTGATCCTATCCACGGGGCCAGCGTCTCCCCTCGCAATGCTGGGGATAGGCCATGCCTGAGGATCCCGGCTCCTCCAGGCCAGCCATCCACTCCTATGCCCCATCAGCCCCCGCCCGCTTTACCTCGGGTCCTGTTTATTCATGCCCCACACGCAGTCCGCTGGCAAGGCTGATCTCACTGCTGCTGCAGGGATGCTCTAGCAGTATTTGCCCCAGGTGCGTATTGGCCTTGGCTGCAGCCTGTAGGGAGAGAGGCTGGTAACCAAATGTCAAGACCATCCAGGGACCTGGCAGTTTCATTCTTCTCTTAGCCCAGTCCAAAGGTCTGAACAGGACAGATTGAAACTTGCAGCTGGCCTAGATCCCCTCCTCCCTGAGGGCTAGTGGCTCAGGCCTGAAAAGAGCTGGTCTTGACTGAACAACAACTCTAGGGCTGGGTCTCCTTCAGGCACCTTTGCCACAATCAGTGTGTGTGTGCGGCTAGGAACCGCATGGGGACCCTGGTCTATTCCAGGTGTCGGCAGTCCCTGAACACCAAATGGCTTTCGAGTCCACAGCTCATTATAAGCTCCTCTTGCAAAGCTGGCCGAGGTTATAAGCGTTGCAAGGCAGGGGGCAGGAGTGGTCGGCCCAAGTGTAATACCCTCCCGCCATGGATGACCAGCGGGTTTTGAACCAGGGCACTTCAGCGCTGAAGCAGGCTTGAGCCAAAGGAGTAGCTCCTCTAGCAGTAGTAGGCTGTTATCCTCTAGTGGCTCAGTCACTAGGGGGCAATATGATTCACACATTGTGCTGCCTAATTGTGTTGCTTAATTCCTGTTATTGGCCACTCACTCAAAATCACTGCTTCGGAAGAGCCCGGACCTCTGCCGCTGGAGCAAGAGGAATTACTTCTTTGGCTGGTAGCGGTAGTAAGCAGTTATCCTCTAAAGAACCAGCCACCAGAGGGGGATGCACTGTTACCCTGGGGGCCCCCAAATGACCTTCCAAAACACTGCAGCATAGCAGACCAACCCCTGTGATATGGTTCTAAAGGAATTCTTTCAGGGCAGGCTATTTCCCGGGGGCTCCATCAGGGAACTGAAATCTTTTAAATGAGCAAATTTCAGAGAGCTATGTTGAGCGTCCCTTTAAGAGACACCTTGAAGCCCTCACTGGTAACTGCTGGTGACAGACATGGCACCAAGCGGGAAAGCTGAATTTTTCCATGCTCCAGGCAAAGTTGGGGGGACGGTGGGAGGAGCATAATTAACTCTTGAACTCTTTCTTTTTTCCTTTTGCTTCACACCCGTGGTGAGGATTATGTGGGAGCAGCGACTGGGCTGGAGAACAACAGAAACCAGGCTGGCCGTATCAGATTGCAAGCCGCTTTCCCTCCTGGGCTTTGTATTTGTGTTTGCTTAGAAAGTCCAGTCCCCGCCCTAAGCCTCTCTTGGCTGGCTGGGAGTCGGAGAGGCGCTCTGGAATTCCACATGTGGGCTTGCTTGTTTTCTCCCTATACAGAGGCCATCCCACCCTCTCGCTGTATGACTTCACCCAGGGCTCCGTAAAGGAGGGATTAAAACCAAAGCCGCTCCAAACTTTCTCCCCCAGTTCAAGCCCCTTTCCCTTCCCCAGCCGGCCTGGAAGCCAGCTCCCAGCTGCAGCAATCAGCACCCCTGGCCTGCGGCGCTTTCTGCCTCTGTCGATATTTTGTTTCCAGCCTGTTCTGCTGAGCTCAGCTCGGAGCCCTCCCACCCTGGGGTTTAGCTGGTGAGGGGGCTTTAGCATTCTCTGCTGATGCTCTGCTGTGTCTCCAGCGGCGACTGGACTCATCCGTTGCCTCCCTTGCCCTCTTGCAGGCCCTGTGCGCTACGGTGACGACCAGCGACTTGGCTGAAACTCAGTCCTTGGTGTTCTGCGGGGCGGAGGTGAGCTGCTTCTCCGGGGACCCCGACTTCCCGAACCCCATCGCCTTAGCCGAGCAGGCTGGACAGAAGCTGCAGATGGAATTCCTGCTTCATAACAAAAGCTCAGGTAAGAGGAGCAGGTGGGACCGGGCAGAGCCCCCAAGCCGGGGCTGTGAGCGGGATGGAGGTCTGGGAATGCTGCGGGTGGGCTGGGCTAGTGGTTAGAGCATCAGCCGCGGGCTCTGTTCTCTGCTCCGCTACTGACTGGTTCAAGGTCACACACCAAGTCACTTGCGTTGTTTCTCCCACCGGTGAAATAGGGCTGGGTGTGCTCACCTACCTCGCTAATGAGGCTTGGTTTGCAACATGTGCCAAGTGCTTTGAGATCCTCCGCGCCACGGAGGAGGGGCCGAGTGTGGACAGCAAAGTTGCAAGAACGCTTAAGAGATCCTACGTGAGTTTGAAGCATTAGCTCGGAGCGTGCTAGGTCCCTGGCAGAGCTATTTGAAACTGGGCGGTGTCGGTTCACATGAGCCAGGGCTTTGGTTCTGTGGGTCCCATGTGAACCCAGAACTGCGCTCGCCCCGTCCTTGGGCCTGCTCTGAACTCTTCCCTGCCTCCTCTTGGGCTGACTCAGAGCTGAACCTCTTGGCCCCACGGTGGCTCAGGTTTCAGC